GAATAGCTGGGTTCGCCAAGTCAGCCGCTCTCGATTTGAATTTGAGAGTTTGGTGTTACGGCGCTCCTACACGGTTTCTCTATAGCTTTTCAGTTACTGTCTACTTTGACCTGGAGATACCCTCTTTGTCTCCCACCCTCTGGTAATGTGCATGCTACGTCCTCCATGGCACCTCGCACGGCCTCCCAGTTCAGATTGTGTGGGCTCAACCAAGGCTCTACCGCCTGGCCATGCCCAGCGACCGTGGATTGCATGATATTGCATGTTGCTTTGTATGGCTTTCCGAACCAGAGGCGTCTTTATGTTCTTGTAGCATGTCAGATCATGTTTGGCTGCCAAGTCGAAAAGTCAGCTTGTAATTATTTCTATTCCGTTGGCTTTTCTATACACAGCCAGCAATAGAACCAAGTAGAAAGCTTAATGGCAAATGGTCTTTGTGGCGGATCGGCCACACCTCGTCTCTCCCCACCGAGACGGACACCGACTTCTCCTCGACGCCGCAGGTGGGAGCGACGACTTGACAGTCCAAAGTGGAGCTCGTCCGGAGCGGTTTCCGCGAGAAAAAGGAGAACCATGACGGATTTGTCCGGTGCTGATACAGATGGGGGCAGGTCCAAACCTGGAGCCCGACCCGTCCATCATATAGCTTGCTTTACCTCTGCCAATCGGTGGTGCCATCCACTTCCACAAAGTGTCACAAACTGTTGGGGTTCAATGGTCCTGCCAGAGGGACTCCTAGAGATCCCCACTTCCAGCGATCAGCGATGCCAGCGATCCCACTGTCCGGTCAAGTGAAGCTTTTTCCAAGGCAGATGCGAAGTTGGAGGCTCCTGTCCAGGAGCCTGTAAATTGGGATCAGCTTGATATCAGCAGCATTTATTCCTTGGAAATCGTTCACTTGGAGGATCAAGTAAGTATAGCCCAGTATAGCCCAGTTATGAGTGATGTATCTGGGGATGTTCAGCCGCGCTTGACATGCTTGGCCCGGCCCAACTCTCAACTTAGGGATGTAAGGAGTCGAGAGCACAAACTACCAAAGCATGACAATTTCCAAGCTCAACCTTTTGCCCGGTGCCGGTGCCCCTACGTCGAAGCTCATGGTGTTCATGCTGAAATGGCTCATGTTCCATGAACTACCTCCCAAGAGCTGCCACACCAAGAGAGGTAGCCAGTGACCTTATAGGACCTTACTGGGGTACCTATGGGATAGTCTATAAGGTCCTTCAACCTCTGTTGGCATGCATCATGCCCCGCCACCACCGGAAGCCCTCGGAGACGTCTCCGACCGTTGCCGCGTTGCACTCCTCAGCGTTTGGACTCCTCATGCGCCGTGGAGCTTGGAAGGCGGGGACCCTTTTGGGCCGGGGCGGGCGGAGCGTCCTTTGAAGGAGGAAGACACCCTCGGCAAGTTTGGAGTGGAAGAATCACTCAACATTGACTTAAACTAGTAACTAGCTTAAACTTATAGGAATAACATGGATTTCGGAGGTGGAGCTTTCAGAGTCTTGTTTCATCCACAAGGGCTCGGACCAAGGCATGTTTTGGGAGGGCGTCGCAGTAGTTACAGCATCGCTGGACCTGGAGACATCCTGGTCGTGAGACTTCCTGGTGGATAGACCTGAGGGGAACTTGTTCAGATGGGTCTAGTAGAGTAAGTTCCTGGAATGAACGTATGAATGGACCTTGAGAACCACTGGCTGGTAGATGAGAAGACTCTTAACTTGTAGGGAGTCCATGTTCACAGTCCAGGTGCTCTGTCCGTCTTGGGGGGATAACCCAAACTCCGCTCGAGGCTGAATTTGGGTGAACCGTTTTGTGCCTCTCTGAACGGGGCCTGAAGACCATGTGGTTTTTGCCGTGACCGACAGCCTCCAGGCTGCCCTTGTCCTCGCCATGTCCTTCCTCTCCTTCACACCTGCGCTGTTGGGGACCCCCAGCCTATAGCTAAGCTCAGAGAGACTTGTTGTGAAGCTCGAGTTGGGGGCACTCAGCAGTTCTCAGAGGTGGATGATGGATGTGTTTTTGGTGCAGAATCCCGAGAGGGTTGCGTCACCGTGTCTCAAGATCTTGATGTGTTGGAACATGTTGGAACCGTTTTTGCCATGATCCTGTAGGATTGTGGTTCCGAAACAGGAGACACGAAAACCTTTGTGAGAAACACTTCGAGGAGGGTGAGCGGAACCCTGCAGTTAACGTGTTGAGGATTGTTGAGTTGTTGATCTTCCCGCTATGGTGGAATGCCCTACTGGAAGCCGTGAACCAGGTGGATTGCAGGTAGAGAAACAGGAAGATGAACTATGAACTCCTGGAAGTTCTGTGAACTCCAAGTTCTTGGCTTTAACATGGCATACATGTTTTGTGTTTTCTCGAGTTCGTTACTAGCCATGGCCCAAAATTGGAGAAACCTCTAGAGGGATCAAGTGGCCGCAGGGCAACACATGCCAACACCGTGGTAGATTCTCATTCTTGATGCAGAGTTCTACATCTCCCCACAAAGCCCACCAACAAACCCACTGCATCAACCTCCAAGACATCCTGAAGCCCACCTCCATCTTTGGACTGGTGCAATGGTTTCATGGTTTTGCTCAAGGTTATTGTATGTTCCCTATGGGTCAATCCCCTTTGGAGGAATACCCTCCCTGCAACAATCATGGAAGTGGACAACCCCGACACCCCTCTTGGTATTCGGAAAATCGTCTTCCAAGCGGACATGCCATCCACTTCCATGCTTGTTTTCTTGGTTTTGCTTGAGGTTATTCTATAGGGTAAATCCATGTAAGTCCATCCCCTTTGGAGGAACATGTGTTGCTTTTTTCCTGTGACCTTAAGCAAATCCTTGGTCTTCCCGAGGCGCCGCCTGACCGGTGTGGCTGTGCCGCAGGCGTCCTCCGCTCTCTTTCGCTTGGCACGGTCCTCCGCTGGAGCGTCTGTTGCGCTGTTGTGCCACAGGAAATATACAAACCTTGTTAAAAGAGGAGGTATCACAGTTGTAGAGTGGGCTTTGAGTCGAGTTACTTTTTGACTCACCTAAGCAATACTAAAATATACTATAGCTACTGAGAGTGCTACTGAGAAAGGTTTAGAGCCAAGGAAACTGAGTTATGCACCACTGTGATGAACAAAAGGCTGTATAAATAGAATGAATGTGTTTCAACATGTTCGAAAAGAATCCTTATTGCCAGAATTTGACTGGCTGAGTGTCCATAGCTTTGGGCCCAAAGACGGGCTCACCGAGAATGAAGTTCTCAGCAGCCATAGTTCCTTTGTGCATTCAGAGCTCATTTGCTTTGTCACTGAATGCACAGGGCCGCTGTGATGGTGCCCCAAGCAGCTCATGCTGCAATTGGCACTGCGACACCACTGCAGGGTGGGTAGCGAAGCATCCAATGAGCAAATTCACAGGAACCAGCAACGAGGACCTGGGTTTGCTGATGGCGTTCATTATTCTTTTCCCCAAGTACTGCAAATTCGGCTTGTAATTACATGGGACATCCTCATGAGCCAGTAGAGGGATTCAACAATTATCTAAACAATTATCCCAATTCTTCCTCAGCGCCAGCTCTTTCTTCATCTCTCCAGGACTGTTGCGAAAAGACCTGTGTTCACTTTCCATGTCCCCACGGCTTCCGGACGAATGTGGCCTATGCGAAGAACACGGGCTGGTCCCCTGAAGCGTGCTGCGACCAGACCTGCGAGACCTTCGAATGCGCTGAAGGCTACAGGGTCACCACGGCCACAGCACAGGGAGTGAACCTGACACATGTGACCTGGTTAGACAGTGGTTACACGAATGGGACAGGTATTTTTGAGACCGTTTTGCGACCGTTTTTGCCCATTGTTGTTGTTTGTTTTTCTTTTTTCAATGTTGTTCAGATGTTGTTAAGCCCCTTTGATGTTTAACTCTTCTTTGCTACCGTTGATTTGTGTTTTTTTTCATATGTGTATTTGTTCAAGACAGTCTACGAATAATGTTATAGTGAAGTCCCTTCGGAATTAACGGGGATTTACAGTTAAAGACCTGGATTTGCGGATCAAGTGACTCTAGATGCAGCTTTTTGGTGAATCCCCTTCGAGGAAGTGTATAGTCAGAGGCGAGGGACAATATACGTATACAATGTTATTTTGTACTTATCCCTATATGCACCCAAGCCCTACAACTTTGTAAGGTCTGAATTAAAAATGTTGGTATATTTTGTGAACTCTGTCAAGCATACCTTAATTGATATACCTTGGGGTTGTTCTTAAAACCTTGGGTTTTGCTTTTTCAAACCCGTATCCCTAGGCCTCCCCAAGACGTACTGACAAGCATGCTAGAATGGAGAAACAGTGTGAGGAACCATTCGCCCCCAACAACCTCCTCAGCAGGGCCTCAGGCCCTTCATCCTGGAAGGCATTTTTCTCCTAACCTCGAGTGGTGGCACATCCCATGCTGCGTGTTGATGTTGCGAGACCAAGTTGCAGCAAGGAAACCCCCAGGCACCACCACTTGGGTTAGTGCATCCTTGTGCGTAGAAACTGCAAAACGCTTAGATCTTACAAAATGCATATACGCAGCGAACCCCATATTTTTTGTGAGAACAGGGAGTCTCATCAGAGGTGCTCCCATCAAGGTTCCCCCATACTGGTAACAAATTAGAACAAATAAAACAATATTGGAATAAATTGCAAATCATTACAAAACATTGTAGATCATACAACAACTTATGCTCTCAAATGATTAGCTAAAGTTGGTCGTATGGAAACATTTTCTCTTATCATGTCACTGGGGGCTGGGCCTTTGAAAAATTGGCGGCATTGCTTCTTCCAGCTTCCCCTTGCTGCACATACCAGCTAGATCGCTGAACCCACGAAGCCCTCGCACTTGAAAGCATGAAATATGCCGGCAACTCTCTACCGAGTTCTGTGGTTCTGTGGCACCGGTATGTTTCGTGCTCCTTGGTCAACCTGAAAGGCTTGGAACCTAAAATTTCTGAACAACAAAACTTTTTTTACTGTGTTGGCAGAAGCGGGTTGTGACCTTTGCCTGAAGACACGAAGACACGAAGACCCGTGAAGACACGAAGAGACGGAGACCCGCGAAGCTCTTCAAGGCTTTAAGTCGTCACCAGGCTTCAGGTCTTCAAGGCTTCACCCACAGATGCAGCGTTGACCTGCAGCAGACACTGTAGCCAGTTTTGTCTTTATAGGAGAACCACCTCGAACTGTTTGAAAAAGCAACAGTTGCATTTCTTGTGGGCTTTCACCGGACGGATGGATGGATGGATGGATGGATGGATGGATGGATGGATGGATGGATGGATGTGTTTGTTTGTTTGTTTGTTTGTTTGTTTTGTTGTTTGTCTATGCTGTTTTGTTTTGTATTTTCCGTATGTATATGTGTGTAGGTATGTTTGTATGTGTTTGTACGTACATATGTACGTACATATGTATGGACTTATCTTGTGCGGTTTTGCGTTTTGTATTGTTGTTTTAGGTGATATATTGTTTGTACTCTATGTAATGTATTATTTGTTTTGCATGTGTTGTATGTTTGTATGTATGAATGTATGTAGGTAGGTAGGTACGTAAGTAAGTGTGGACATGAGCAGTAGGGCACTCTCGAGTGACCTGGTCTGAGCCAAAGACCCTATGATACCCTATTAGCATGTTGTTGCAGCCACCAACCTCCTCAGCAGGATTTCCAGGTCAAAAACCTTGTCAGCCAGTCGTATTTAACCCATACTCAGCCTTTAGCACTGGTTTGGACAAGGCACCTGTCAGAAACCCTAGGTCTTTCCACAATACAAATTTGTAGTCTTTGCCGTCTGCAGCGCTGCTACGCGCGCTATATACGTTCGTTCGGTTTCCGGGGCCATCCGAGGACACCTGCTGTTCACCGACCTGTGGACTTCACAAATGTGGAGTCTTCTGGAGGGCTTCGGAGGACGTTTTTTGAGTCGTTGGTTTGGTATCCATTCATGCGAAAGCAAGACGTGGTGTTTTGAGATGGAAACAAGTGACGCAAAAAACACCCGACCAAATCCATCACCGATCTGGAGATGCCACGGAAGAACAAACAGATTGTTGATCAAAACTGTGCTGGATGTGACGGATGTGTTTGTTTTTCCTTTCATCCGGTTTTTTCAAACCCTTTTTGTATGGTTTGCCAAACCACTTGGGAAAACCCAAGCCCGAAAGTGTTGTTAAAGGCCTTGCATTCCCCACCAGGACCGGAGCTTTTGGGTCGGAGACTCCGACGCCGTGTGCTGCGAGCCGCGTTGTGCTTTGATGCAATGCGGCCTCGGCTGGGCGTTGGATGACCAGAAGGTCGATCAGGTGGGCGCCACACGCGAGGAGTGTTGTGCCAAGACCTGTGAGATCGCCCAGTGCCCACAGGGCTGGCGGATTCCCGAGAGCAAGGCCACTGGGCGTGGGCGGGCACCAGCCAAGTCCCGGGTGAGTTCGCCACAGGAAAGTGGATTTGGGGAGAAGAGAATTGTTTTTGAAAACGCGAATCGATGGAATGTTCACAATGGAAGGGCACCTTTGTATGTGTTTAGCAAAAGCATGAACCTCCCTGGCCAGCCAATGTGTTTTTGTATATGTTCCTGAAGTTTGCCTCGGCCAGCTGCAAGACATGCCAGAACCCCAGGAAACCGTCGGCAATCGGTGCTTGAAAGGCTAGTCTTTGGAAACCCCGTTTGTTCGAGAGTGACTACAATCCTGGACCTGGTCATGAATAAATAGACCCCTTCCCTGCCTGTGGTCATACCCATTCTTGCCGTGTCACATGTCCTGGTGAGAAGCATCAAGGGCGGCGAGGTGTGGTTGTTGAGACTCGAGCTCAGTCAGGTGAAGAAAATTGCTCGCAATGAGAGCGAATGCTGCCAGCCGACGTGTGAGCAACATGTTTGCGGCAAGGGCTATGTGACGGATGCCACCAAAAGTGATCTTTTCATGCCTTCCAACGACCGATGCTGTCAGAAGAAGTGTGCTGCCTTCGAGTGCCCTGAAACCTGGCGACTGCAGATGTTTTGGCTCATTGCTCTACCAGAAAAGCAAACTAAATACATAACTGTAATTAAGAAATCCATAGGCTGCTGGACCTCAAGAAAGTATGAAGAAGTTGATTCTGGGCACCATGCATTGGTACCAACAATGAGAGAACCAACCAGAGGGTCCAGCTAGGTCTTGTGAGAGATCAACACAAATTGAAATATAAAGCATCTTGATGTTCAACCCCCTTGAAACGAAACCAACGCATCCGAAGTATATGACGTAACTATCGACCAACATTGACCATCATCAACGACCGTTCTCTCAAACCATCATGTTTTTCACAGGATTGATGTCTGATACCCTGCATTCCTGTTGACGTCTGATCTCTTCGGTCCATGCGTCGGTGCCCAGGACGGCTGGGTGCGAGATGAGAGTAAGGGCGATCTGCTGGCGACCAATGCCGAAGGCTGTTGCATCAAGCAATGTCACTCGGACGGGATCCGCCATGGTGTTGTTTGTGGCTTATAGACTCGTTGCTGTTGTTGCTGCTGCTGCTGCTGGTGTTGTTGTTGTCGTCTTATATGATGTGTTTGTTTATGTTTCCCCTGTATGCGTAATGCCTCGGGGGAAGATGGTTTTATGATCTCTCGGTTTCTGGACGCAACTCCAAGTCGTCAGACCTGGGGTGAGATCCCCGGCGTGTCGTGGCATTTGACATTTTTACAGGTCCCCTGATGCCCGTGGATCCGAAGAGGGAGAGATTCAGTAAATCAAGACTCATCCATGCCCTACTACGGATATAACATACTTTCTGAGAAGGTGATTGGAGGCGAATGATGTAGCCTTGGAGGGACCAAGTACCTTCGCAGGTATGTGGATCCCTAGGGATGGATGAGATGCCAATCCATGGATGTGCTGCCGGATCTGTATATGACAATGTATGATATGACTTCAGCGAATCTCCGCCCCCCCTAAATGCTGTGTTGGAGATATGATGGGTGTTTCCCTCCCTGATTCGGAAAATTCCACAGAGATCGGAATGGAAACACACAACCTCTCTCCACTCCCAGCCATCATGTTTTCGTGGACCATGGACCCTGGAACTTGGTTTTAAAATAGATCTGAAACCGAAGTCCAAGGCACTTCCATTGCTTTGTTCGCCTTTAGAATGCTGTACTATGTGGTACTCTTTCTAAAAAATGGGACCTGACCAGACCTGGTGTAAAGATAGACCAAAGTCTTCACCCTATCTCTTTTCACTTGGACTTAGGGAGATCCGTCTTTGCCAGAGCATCTTCCGTCCTTCCCGGTCCTTCCTGTCTGGAACCATCCCACAGGTCGTCTCCACGAATGCGGCGCTGGTTGGCTCACCAACACCTCCAAGAATGCCCTCCTGGGCTCTACCGATCCGATCTGTTGCGATCAGACCTGCGCTGCCTTCGCGTGCGCCCCCAACACGACGAATCGTCCGGACGTGGCGAACAGCACCAACATTAGCTGCTCGGTGAGAAGAGGAACAGTGACAAGGTGACTGAAATCCACCAACATGATTTGTCTATAAGGACCTCGTAGGCTCTTGGTGAATACAACGCTCCACATTTAAAAGGTTTTACAATCCAAACAGGGTGAAATTGAATCAAGAGTCTACATCCGTCAGATTTCTAGTTTTAGTATTGTTTGCTCTCGTTGTTATTTTTTGTTCCGAGGCTCATGACTCTCCCCAACGAAAATAACCGGGCACCGCAGGTTACCCCGGATGTATGTGTTTTATGGTCGCAAACTGAGATTTTCAGTTTACCAGCAGGCACCCCATTCACCATCCAACAAAAGCTGAGCTTCACCGAAAAAGCCTTTTCATCATCTTGAAGCCTCAACCGAATGCCATGATACTTTACCGGCACAAATAGGCTGTAATTAGGTCTCCCTTGTTGGATTTTGGCCCCACCAAACATACCTCGGGCATTGCCCATAGACCTTGGCAGACTTTGTTCCTGAGTTTCCACGCTTCAAATGCCATTCCTCGAAGCGCTCGCGTTTGTCCCTGCCTCAACAACTTCTGGAAATTGCTCTTAAAAACAGGGGGCCATCTACAGTATATACAAAAAGACCTTTGCCACGATCCAAGCATGATCAATGACCCGTACTTGCGATAACGTCCAACATGCGAGCTTGTCCGGCCCTTTCGCTTTCCAATTCGTACGTGTCTTCCACCGGGCATCGAATCTTTTGTGACATCAAAACCCCACGCGTTTGGATTGCGATGAGGGGTAAATGTCTCAAGACATGTCATAAACCCTCCGGACACCGCAACTCTGGAAGATGCGGTACTTGAAGGGTGAGAAGACAGACCCGTCCGCAGGCTCGAGACCCGCATGGCCTGTTAATGTTTGGTGGATGAATCATGAACATACCAGGACCATCCAAGGGGTGTCCAATGGGCTACCCCACACTACCTACAGGCTTCTATTGGGCACCCCTTGGAGGGTCCTGGTAGATCATTTGTTCAATGGTGAAAGGAAGGATGATCAGAAGATATCAGAAGATGACATTTGATCCCACAGCTGCAACATAAATCATTCAAGAGAGTGATCACCTGACGGACCTGAGATGAAGACTGAGCAAAGACTCAATGAGATACTTTTCTGTGTAGATTCACGTAAGGCCAAGATGTTTGCTGCGAAGCTGCACTTTGCCCAGCGATCCGAAAGCTCAAGCAGACGAAGCAGCACTGCAATGGCCATTCGAAGAACCATTGCGAAAAGTATTTCGACGTTTTGCAGAAGAATTCGTCAAACACTTCAAACAGGACCAGGGTTTTGAAAGGAGTGGGTTAGTACATGTTAGTACTGCAGATTCAGTCATCCAGAGAGTGCTTGTCAGTGCGTTTAAACAGGGTCGCCGGCACAGCGGTAGCAGGACAGTGACCGTGTTCGCCAAGTGCTACTACGATGGTGTCTATGACCTGTGCAGGGTCAACAACAATATGACGGTCACGGGATGCTCACCCATTCTATGACGAAAGCATCAGTACTCTCTGTGTGCGAAAAATGGACGGTCGGGGCGGTCGGGATGTGAGAAACTGATGGACCAATGTATCTATCTTGTAATATCTTCAGCTCTCAAGCAAAAAGAAGACTTTCTCCATGGTTTCAATCAATTGCAAGATGGATGAAAGGCTGTAGACAATCCAAGAAAGCCTGCTGCGACAGACATACGCGTATATTGATGCATATTGTAACTCCCCCATCTAAACAGTCAGAGGTAGGGAAATCAAAGATTTCTCAGAGGTGAAGGTGGGCAGAACAGGTGAGGTGTTTTTTCGTCCTAGGTGCCATCAGGTGCCACTTTGGGCGAACCACTGACCCTCTTATGGATTTTTGCTTCATGCCTCCATTGATATCATCCATGGGTGCCCAGCATTAGCTATCAGATCATCAGACTTTGTGTGGAATCTCAGAGTTTTGAAGCGAACGCTTGTTGTTCGCAACTCATTCGTCGCTCTCGACATCTGTCAGGCTGGCCGCTGCCTTGTTGGAGCACAGGCCCGTGCTGGGTCTTCGTGCGAAGAAGAAGAGGGACCAGAGAGGCTGCGAACTCTTGTAACATCGTACATCCTACAGCCACTACTGACTTATATCCCTCAGTTAGTGGTACGTAGTCTGAAATCTGTTAAATGTGCTTGTTCCATGTTGTTCCTTCCCCATACAGGTGTCAACAGATGTTCAAACTTTGGCAACAGTACGGCGACATGGAGCCCTCATGCCTACGCAGACAACACCAGTGCTTTCCTTTGGTGGCTTTTGAAGACTTAAAAGTGCCGGGTGGTGACCTGTGAAGTCGGCTGCTGGTGCTGAACATTGGTTAATCGACCTGTCCCAAGGCGCGGCAGCAGCGATGGGTGGCTCGAAGCTTCTCCAGCAAGGCACGTGCGGCGGAGGTGGTGTTGAACAACTCGGGGAGCAAGTCGACCACTGGAGACGCAGATCGGTTGTGACCTAGGGAACTAAGTCATGTTCAAGTACGTAGCTGAGTAGTTTTTGCGAGCTGAGAGGCTGAGAGTGTAGCTGGCAGTGTGGTTTTCGAATTGTGAGGAGGGTTTCGGTAGGGCTGATTGGGGAATTATTCGAATTCATAGGAGCCAACCACGACATAGTAGTACAGTATATTTTTCGGAAGTCTTCGCTCAAATACCAAGACAATCTTTGGCAGGACTGCATGTGAATCAGTTGTTCAGTGATGGGGCTCCGGCTTTGAGTGATAGTTTTGGAGGGATGTCGCTATCAGCACCTCCTTTGTAGCGGCGGGAGAGCGGTTCTCGCCAGCCTTTGCCAGGAGCAAAGATGACGGAAAACATAAAAGATGGATGAATTGATATGTGGAACCTGTATGCAAGTAGAGTTCAAACTCTTCCGGCATGTCAATACTGGCATTGACCCAACAGATGCGTCCTACGCAGGTGTTAATTTGATTTGTTGCGTTTAGTTCTTTTTGTCTAATGGCTGGTTTAGTATGGTGTATTAAAGCTTCGGCTGCCTTGCCTGATTCATGCCGGGCACTCCTGGCAGTGCAGTCCATTCTTTGTTTGTTTTGTTCACCTGGACGCTCCAAACAGCCCTCGGTTTCTCAAAACCTAGGGATTGGTTTCGAAACCCCTGAGCCCTGACCCGAGGTATTTCGGGTTCGCATGTCTCCATTGGGGGCCGAGTTCGGGTCGCTTCTGGGCAAGTCATCTATTATTTATCTTGAACTTGTTGATGACTTGACTACAAGGCACCAATCCAAATCAAACACCCACTTGCTACTTGGAAGACACCCACCATGAGCCAACGATGAGCCTAGAACGGTGGTTCTTTTGTTGCAGGTGGCGGTGATCCAAGACCAGCAGATCCCCAAGGACGAGGCACAGACCGATGCAGTGTGATGGGCAAATTCAACAAATCAGAAAGCAAACTTCCTACCAAGAGATGTCTAAGGGAATAGCCTACCAAGAGATGTGTGTGTGCATACTAACAGTTATTCTTAAATGACCCAAAGTTGTCCAAACAACAGCGGGGCCATAGTCCCCAAAACCAACATAAAGGCACTCTTGGGAAGACCATGCCTTGCCGATGCAGCAAGCTGCAGCGGTTGGTCTCAGCGCATGGTTCATGCTTAAAGATTTGATGCACCCAGCCCTGGCAGCCATACCACTAGGCAGTATCGAACCAGAGCAAGGCGAGAAAAAATAGCCCGGGAAAGCCAAAAAGAAACAACGCCTTTTTTGACCTCAAAGCTATAGACTCCCTCAAACAATCATGGAAATGGATGGCATGTCCCCTTGGATACCCATTTTCCGAATACCAAACAGGTGGTGCCCTCCACGTGACCATGATGATTTCAAGGAGTGGCCCCCTCCACCAGTCTCGCCTCCTCTCCCAGGCCATGAAAGCCTTGTCCGGAAAAGGATTCGATGTCTCCTGGTCGTTTGGGAGTCCCAGTGCAGGTGTGTCGCCGAATGGGTGTGATACTTTGTATAAGATGATGTTGTATGTTCCCCATGAGTGAATCCCGCAACATGTGTTTTTCTCCCGGTCGCTGGATAGACTAGTTCCATGTTCCTGTGACTCACGGCCCGTACTTACCCCCTTAAAGCCGGCGTAGCCACCGGGGGTAGGGGGGTTCGTTGCCTGGGATGGGTCTCCCTAATTGAAGACAGGGCGCTGTCTATGTGTGAGTCTGACTTGGGAGGAGCCGACCGTCAAGGCCAATGGTGCGGGAGACAATGCGACGAATCCGACGGATTTGCCACGAAACCTGTTGCTTGGGAGACAGATAATCCATATGAGATAGATATATCCCAGACACGAGTAATGGGACTGGTATATTTACCGCCCCATTAGGGTGGTGCCAGAGAGGTTAATGTAGGCATGTATGACAAACATGGAGTGTTTGGGTATAGTGATCCCAGTAGTGATCCCCAAATAGATGACCGTGGCACGGTTTCCAATACATTTTCTACGTGGGGATCTACGAACTTCTATCTATGACAGGGGATCTATAGAAGTTCACTGGATCTAGTGGAGAGGTCACCATAGGTCACTAGTGGGTTTCAAAGGGATGGGCGCAAAACGGATGAAGAGGGCTGGTGACATTGTAGGGCTATAGGAGATCCCAAGATTGGCTTGCAGCTGCGCTGCTGAGTTTCTTGTGATGGAAGGCACGTCTCAAAGTCGATGTTCCGCACTTGTGGTGTGCAATTTATGAAAGACGAAGGGATGGTTCTGCAAGCATCGGAGTGTTGTTTGTCAGCTGCGTTTGTTTGTCAGGTGTCCTGCTCACATGGTGGGTCACCAAGCTATCGAACCTCATCAATCCATTCGCCTCCAGAGACTCCGGGATTCGTTGAACCTCTGAGATCCATGCTTGCTCCACATAGAGCCCGGTTTTGGGGTGTGACCACTACTCATCTAGGTAGCCTGATGTTTCTTCATGTTTGTCCCATCAGGTTGGTGGGCTTGACTTCCATGTTTGCTCCTCGCGTCTTGTGGAAGCGAACGTCTTCGACGTTCTCACGGCCGCCGGTCGACGAGGGTTTTTGTCTGTCGACATACGGCCTGGGGAGGCGGTGTTCGAGAACTGTCTGGAGCTCAAAATCCACCAAAATCCATCAATGTCCATTTCGTACAGACAGAAGGGTGTAGATATACCATGATTTTACCCAGCGGGACCCACCTACTTGTAACCTATCACCTCCATCCACTTCCCAGAATGGGAGATCAACCTATACCACCTTCTTAAGAGCTCTGGGGTGGCCAGCTCTGGGCCACTGAGCCGGAGCACGCGGTCCCCCCCGCCGTCTGCCCTGTTCCACCCAGGCTGGCGGAGCCTTCGGATGCCTGGGCCATCGTGACGGCCCGGGGGATGCGGAGGGTGCAGGGGCTGCAGGAGTTCGCCCCCCTCTGGCGGGGTGTCACCTTGTTCTGTGGTATTTTCTTGTTCAACCTAGGCATGTGCAAACTGGACATGAAAAAACCTGCTGTTGTTTGGTTGTGTTTAATGTTTTTCTCCAAGGGGATGCTACTCATCTTCCCTTCCTCAAGGATGGGGATGTTTTTTTCTTCTCAAAGTGATATTCAATGATTCATTTCAGTCTCGAAGATCATGAAACTCATAACTCCTCCATCCTGCACGAGCAGTGGGATGGACCTTCCAGCAAAAAAGCAGCAGTGGGATGAGCCTGATTGAAGTGATTGAAGTGGATCGAAAGTGATGGCCCGGTGTGGTCAGCACCAACCATTCCGATGGCCCAGTGGTTCGTGACACCAGCGGGTATAGTGACCAGAAGACGTGGTTTTCGGTAACTGGAAGGGAACCCGGCACTCACGGCACTCTTCGACACTCACGGCAATGGGCCTCACATCTCTTTGGGCTCAGCAATCTCCAGAGGATTGGGTTTCTGGTTGTGCTTGCGACCCCATTGATTGTTGAAGTTGTTGATGTTCTTTAAACCATGGTGTTTATGTATAAATGTATGTTTCCAAATAGCTGGTTTGGTCATTTGTTGAAGGGGTCTTGGTGGGTCCAGGTTGCTCTCGACTTCCATGTTAAATCCTTTGACACTCTGAAGATCTGGATCCAGAAGAGGTGAACCGGTCTTTTTCGGTGCTCAGAGGAGTAGGGACGCTGGAGAGAAGTTCATTAGAGGCAGGGAAACATATTCCATCCATCAAAGATTGCACCATGTAGCTATTGTCAACCATGCTTTTCTGGTGGATGGCAGAAAGGCGTAAAGAGCTCCTCACGACTTTTGTAGGCAGATGTAGGCAGCAAATGGCTTGAACGAGGTGTGGTGTGCTTGTGAAGACCAACCACCATGGAATATACATTGTTGATGTTTTACCTTAATGTAGTGTGGTGACTGTGTGGTGAAGCAAAAAGCATACCCTGCTAAGCTATGCTACAAGGCAAGAGCTTGTTTCCATGTCAGTGACCATTGTCCAACAAATATTGGTTTGCAGGTCAGCTGAACGTGTTTAGAATTCTGGGAGGAGAGCAGTTATAGGTGTAGCTGTTGATTCTTCGTCGCGAAAGGAGTGCACACTCAGATTGTTCCGACATCATTGGAGATGCGCCTTTCTGGTGAAGGTCGATCGCAATCCACGCAGGATCTATCGGGTGAAGGTCTGTGTAATAGATCCTGGATCCCATCTCCAAAGCCACATCTCCAGATCGAACTCCAGTTTTCCACGGGCTTCGGGGGCCTACCGGTGCTATGATGAATGTGGTTCGACTCGGCAGCTTCCAGAGTGGAGTGCACAGTAGATTTGCACGTACCTGAGACTTGTCCCATCATTTGAACAGCAGAAACTACCGTGCTCAGAACAGAAGCAGTATCGTCAAATGGGACAAACTCATCAATAGTTTCGGTCACCGTTTCAAAGACCCTGGCAATGCTGTTGCAGAAGTCAATTAACTTAGTATACATAATCTTATTCTTCTTTGCTTGATGTTTCACCAGGATTCAGACTCAACATAACACCGTTTTGCAACCCAAAAGAGCTCTCCTTAATCAAAAGGTGTGGGATGCTGAGAGATGATAAGCATCAATATATACAGACATTCCACAGATGTGTGCATGACTGATCATCGGTTTGCTCAAATTTGAGATGTTAAATCATTCTAGACCAAAACTCACGTCACAACAGGATACACACAAACACTGCACCTATCATCCGTCGGGTTCCCGTTTCGGCGAACCTTCCGGGCAGCTTGGCAACGCAGCTACCGGACGGCCGAAAGCCTTTTCTTGTGTTTCTGGAAATACGACACCCGAAAGAATCATTCCCAACTATCGGGAATTGTCAAAACCTGAAGCCCTGCTCCACGATGTAGCTGGTTTTGACCCACCGCCATGTGTCAGTATGACCTACAACCACTAAAAGTACCCGAGTGTAAGAGTAGACCAAAGTTGCTTAGATGGAGGGTTTGACTTAAAACCAATGCAGACTCCTGGACAAACCAATGCGGACTCGAAAGACACACTGAGATGGAATGAACTCATCACTATACAAGAATCACTCTGCACTGGTAGAGGATGTAGGCCATAAAGAGTTGCACAGAGTTGGATTCAAAGGGTAGAGATTCATTCCGAGCCTCATTGATGGGTGTTTCGCAAAACCACCAAACCACACAGCACCAAACCATGACCTCTTTCACAGCCTTTTTCAGACCTCCACGGCTTCACATCGCCCCTTTGCCCCCTTCCTTCGCCCCCAAACCACCCGCGCCGCCACGGTGCGCGACTCGACGGCGTATCGACTCGACGGTGCGCGTCACAGCGGAATGTCCATCGAGGCGAATGTCGAATTTGCCCGCCGCGGTGCGCATGATGCGCGACCAGAACGCCCCGGCAAAGAGGCCATTGGAACCAACCAATGGACGCCTTTCCCGCTGGAAGCGGCGGTGAAGCGGGGTTTGAAGCAGAAGATAGAGGAAGATAGGGTCATCAGAGGCATCATGAGTCATCAGACTCATGGGCCATATAGGCTTAAGTCATGTGTCAAGAGTGGTTGATCATGCGGAAACCTCCATCCGAAAGCTATTTGAAATGGATTCTATGGATTCCTGGACGATCCTGAAGGTGATTTGGATGATCTAATGATCCCAAGGTATACAGGTCAGGTCTATCTATTCTATATTTAATGATGGCTAAATCCTCGAGGACCTCTTTTTGGTTGAAGAAGTGCTCCACCACCGCCACCACCTGCTGGACATATATAGAAAACCCACAACTAACCAGTGGGACATGATCAATCTCTTGTTTTATGTTTGTGTTCCTTCCTTTCAAGACGTCCATGCAGTCTCTCCCGTCCATGGCCTATGCCCCAGGCCACGCTTGGAGGCTGGTGGAATGCCCCTGGCCTATGCGCATGCCCTCGCCAGCGGGGCGATGTCGCTCGGCTATGCCACGTGGGCGTGGGCGGGACCACCGCGTAGTCAGTCCCCTAGACTGGCCGTATACACCTCCGTGTCGACGCTCCAGACAGTCTAGGCTCCACCCACAAAGCACTCACCGGAGCGTGTCGACCAGACACCTGAGACCTGAGACCTTCGGTTGAGATCAGAGACCTTGGCATCAGTACACCAGGTGTTTTTGCATTTTGGTCGGTGCAGACTGATTCAGGTGGAGAAACTGGGAGATTTGTACACCTGATTTGCAGTACTTTCACCCGTCTCTCACTCGGATCCGGCGAGTGCGGCGCCATGGTTCGAGACGGAGCTTCGGAGCTGTGGGTCATGGTTCGTTGTAGGTCAAGTGCAGTGGTTTTAACCCTATAGGCCTCCAAGTACCTTCTGAGAAGGGGTTTGAGGGTGGGTTTGGGTCTAGATCCACAGTGTGCAGGGTAATGATGATGTGTTCTTAGACGGTTGGCTTGTCCAGATCCACAGGCGGCCAGGGCTGTGGCTGTTTTCCACCCGTCGTTCACGACTTGAGGAAGCACCGAGAAAGAAGCGGTGCGGAAAGCTTGAACGCCGCATTGAAACAACGCAAAGTAGAATCAACATACCAAACAAGATGGAAGCAATCAGATAAAGGCATGTTCACGGGAGTCAGTGTTTATGTTTTTTTTTGAGTTGTTCCCCAGATAGCGAGAGCTATTGGGGGTTCTTACTCCAAGTATAGGAAGGGAGAGGTTTGAGGTGCCTGTGTGCGCTTTGGAGCCTGCATTCTGGTGCTGCCCAAAACAGGTAAACATTTGTATCCTCGCTAAAAAAAGAACTGGTGCATCTACAATGGTGCGTCTTGGCTACCATCGCAGTTTGACTGGTGGAGTGGCGTCCCGACCAAACTTGCCACAAAAAGAGTTGGCTATGCAATTGCTTAGTGCGTACTCCGCCTTACCTGGACATCCATACCCACTGAATGTTCGGGTACCCTTCGTGCCAGACCTCATGCACTCGCAAATCCACCTGGATTTGCCAACCGATAAGCCATTCTTGGAACGCCACAATCTTTACCAACGTGTCCGAAAATGCATTCGTAATAAACAGAATCTTGATACTCTCGCTTTCGACCCGTGAATTCGCTTTCGGCGGTGTAGTCAATTCGCACGGTCTCAACCTGGTCCTTGAGTAGTGGTGCGCAGTGCATGTGTGTGGATACAGTATACATGTCTTTCTTTTTGTACATTCTACCCTCCTGACCCCCCTGAATAGGGAAGGTCTGTGAGGAGCGACGCAGACATGAGCGCAAGTTGTGTGTGTGGGTGCTGCCCACAAATGTTTTTGCCATTGGGGTCTATGCTGGCCTAGTTTGTTTTGTTTCTGTGCTCAATCTTGTTCAATCTTGTCAGTGACTATTCATAAATCATTGCCTAAGATCAAGGGCACAGAACTTACTATAGCTCCACTTGAGTCCAAAACAGAGGAATTTGGATCTGCTACATGTCCACAATGTTGAAGCTGCTTTAAGCTGACCTTCCCTGATCCAAATCTTGTCAGGCGCTCAACTCGCTCATCTGAATCCATTTTACAGAGTGTAAGTTTCATAGATAAGATCTTAAGTTCGCCTTTCCCCCTGCCATCATTCACTTCCCCAACTAAGGTTTCCCCGCCCTGGTCTTCTTCCAGCCGCCGCCCTCACCCCCGGCCCCGTCCTCGCTGCGCAAACCGCCGCGGGTCTCGCCACCGCTCCTGGCCTAGCGGGTCTCGCCACGCTGGCGGCTGCGGCCTCGAAAGCAGCTCCCGCAGCGGGGCTCACGGCGCCCGCAGTACTCCCCGCAGCGCTCGCCAGCGCCAGCAGCGCGCGGCCGGCGGCGGCCGCGGCGGCGAGTGCGACGCTGCCGGCAGCGTTGAGCGCGGCATCGGTGCCGCAGAGGGATCCGCAGGAGGTGAAGCAGGTGGGAGGGGTGGAGGGTCACTGAGACAGGGCAGGAAGGATCAGGTCATGGCGAAAGTACAACCTGAGAATGGCCAGATGAAAGGGCTGGGATGGGCAATAATAGGACACCACCCCCTTTCAGAGTGACTGTAAGATTAACTCAAAAGCGCTTTGCTGATACAACAAGAAGACGCTGAGAGGTTCCAAACCACTGCTTGGCTGCGACCGAGCCCTGAAACCTTAAGGCCTTGATCCACTATGGCTGCGTGATCCCCAAGGAGGCGGGTATCCGCGACCTGCAAATGCAGCTGCCACTCGGCCGATCAGATCGACCGGGCGAATTCGGTCGATGAGAATATCGATCCCTGGGATGGCAGCGATGGGTCAAGGAACGACGTGATGGTCAAACACGATCAAACTAAACGTCGTAAACATGATCCAACGTCCGTAGATGAATATCCTATCTAGAGGATCCTCTCACTGCCGTGAGCCTGTGAATCGTGTGAATGCCTTTTCTGTTTCCTTGGGAGTATAGTCGACCTGAGCTTTGGCCAAATTCAACTTTCTCTTTGCTGTCGAACTTCTCTTGGTGGGACAATCTCCCGGCTCGGTGTGCTCGTCTCAACCTAGATTCCTAGCTTGGACCGTGCTGTGCGTTTCAGAGTCGATTCGGGTTCCCACTCGTCAGCACGCTGGACAACGCAAATTCAGAAGTGACATGCTCTTATTGGTTCATCGCTGGTTAGTTGCTTTACGACGGACGAAGGTGGCCTTGGTTACATATGGAGGATTTTGCCGCAGTGATTTGCCAATGAAAGGCATCAGTTGTGGGAATCATGTCCTACCATCCGAGTGTTTGGTCCACACATCGTTTTTAACGCATGGATCTTCAAGATTCAGATGTTTGCTTTAACTCGTCATTGGGAACATCATCATCATCATCATCATCATCATCATCATCATCATCATCATCA